CTTGAAAAAAAGCTATCAAAGTACCATCAATTGTATTAGGTGGACTGAAATAAATTTACGTCCTCAACTATCACAGTATGAACGAAAATGTTATCGATAATATAATATTTTCTGAGTAAGTGGAGAAGTCAGGAGGGAAACTGTGACATTTTGTGAATACATATAACGTCACCCTTATTGCGTGACTTATTCTGATCAGTAACAGGAATACAGCAATTCCACAATATACCATTTGCCGTACTTCATTACTTGAAGCTTTAATAACGTTTTTCGAATTTTCACATCGAAAAGCGTTATTTCAAAATGACTTGACTTGAGACAACATACGGGGAAGGAGGGAAGGAGGGAATGGTTCAGTGATTTTACTTAGTAACTTCTGGGAAAACGGAGCAGATACTCAACAGTAAAACAGTAAGTGAAGACGTTACTGCCATGACAATGAAGGACCCCAAGACTATATACAGGGAGGGAGGGAAGGAGGGAATGGTTTAGTGTTTTCAGTAGCTTCGTTGGTGGCCGAGTAAATATTTAACAACAGTGTAGTAAGTGTGGACCTTAATGCTATCATAACACAGGTTAATAACCATTAATCCTTTACAGAACAGATAACCTAGGTCTCACCCTTGACGTTGTTAGACGTGGCGTACCAGCTCATCCTGCTCGACCCCAGCATCACTCATGGCCTATTCTGGGGTTAAGTTAAGTGTGGATCGTCACCGTAAAAGGAGATACCACGTACATACAAAAATAAGTCACTCACCCTGTGGGTAAGTCCGTCGGTGTCGTACTGCCTGTCAGTGCCAAGTTACCCAGGACACGTAGAAGAAAAGTGGGGAAGGTGGTATGAACTGGGAAGTCCACTATTCTGAACAAATCGATCCTCCCATCATTACGGATCAATTCGTGACGTCACTTACCGAGTATCATAGCTTTGTATCTTTTAGTCACCAAATGATCTTACATTATCTGTGATTCAGCTCAATCACACATCAGCCAAATCTTCAGGAAATAGAGGGGAGGGGAGGGCTCGAGATCCCCATGTTGTTCTATTTCAAGCTTTTGAAGAGCGACCTAAAAGCTGAAGCCAGGCACTCACTGGATCTTTAGGCTTCGTCGAGGGCGCGCTTACAAGCTCTCTCTATGATGTCCTAGACCTATGAAAAGACAGTATTGTAAGTTCCTAACTCTCTACTTCTTCGTGGGGCTAAATGGCATCAGTCCTTACCAGCTGACATTCTCGCTGCGTAAAATAGCAATGTTTTCAAAAACGAGTTTTGGAAAATCGACTTGCCATCAAGTCTTGGAGCACAAGATTTTTGAAGACTTTTTTGAATCACGTAGAACATTCTGCTGACATCTTCTTCTCGCTGATACTCTTTGCAAGGATCTTCAAACGTGGTCGACTCGTGATGAAATAAAGGGCTCGTTGCTAAACTTCCAATTCTTTTCTCTCGTGTCATAATCCGTTTTTGTTTATTGGTTTATTTTGTTGGAATCCATTGTATTAGTAGCCTGATTTAATTTATTAGTTAGTAGGTCTCCAGTGAAGAGGACTATTAGGATTAGTCATGGGTCTACGGTCTAATCATTAGTTCTCAACTGGATGATTCTTCTATGGCCGTGATAATCCTGATAGCAGGTCGGAGCTTGAATTGTTAGGAGTAGGTAATACCTAACATCCGAAAATTCAGACTTCGTTTCCACAATATGCTACTGATGTTTGTCTGGGAGTGACGTTATCCCGAGTGTCATCCGTCTTCTGAGATCTAATGCATTCTGACCATCATACAGTTTTTAATACCCATCCAACCTGCCTGCCTATAGTGCGCTTCGACTTTGGTTCAATTTTTTTCTACACGCTTGAGTGGAATC